CCAGCTCTTAACCAAGGCGCCACTCGGCCGGCCCTGTACTTCTAAAAATTTTAAGGATGCTCAGAGATATGGTTAGGGGAAAAAGGTTTATGCCAATGTGATTTATAATAGCAAAATAAGTAAAAATAAAGAAGGAGAGGGAGGGAAGGAAGGAAGGGGGAAGGAGGGAAAGAGAGGGGAAAGAAAGAAGGGAGGGAGGGAGGAAGGAAGGAAGAAAGGAAGGAAGGAAGGAAAGGAAGAAAAGAAGGAAGGAAGGAAGGAAGGAAGGAAGGAATGAAGGAAGGAAGGAAGGAAGGGAAAGAAGGGAAGGGGGGAAGGAAAGGAAAATGTCCAACAATGGGAAATTTCTTAAGTGACCAAATGCTAAATTTAGTGAACACCTACTGTGTGCCAGACTTCTTAGCACTTTCCAGGTATTAATGCATTTAATGTTCACAACAATCTGTGGGATAGGCATTATTATCAACACTTTTAGATGAGGAAACTGAGGTCCAGAGAGATGAGTTACTTCGCAGCGACTCAGAGCTATAAGAGATAGATCTGGGAACAGGGCCAGGCTGGCTTCTGAGTACCTATTCTTAACCTCTAGGCCCTTCTGCCTCTTGTAAACTCAGCCAATGCAAATAACAGCCTAGAGCAATTATGTCCCTTCTTTCCACCATGTTATTATGAAAATGTTCAAACATCCCAAAAAACTGAAATAACTGTGCAGTGAACACTCATGGGCCAGTCACCTAGATTCTAAACATTTTACTCTTCTTGATTTAGCACACATCTATCATCTGCCCATCCCTCTGTCCATTCAACAATCCGTCTTATTTTTTATATACTTAAAAGTAAGTTTAAGACATCAGTACATTTCACCCCTAAAGACTTCAACATCCACATCATTAACTAGAATACAACATTTTTACACTTCTTATTGCTTACTTTTGAGATAAAATTTATACATAATACAATCCACAAATCTTAAGCATACAGTTCGCTGAACTTTGTCAAATGAGCAACCCAAACCTCAATTAAGATATAGGATATTTTCATCACTCTGGAAAATTCCCTCATGCCCCTTTCCAAACAATCCTCAGCCTCCCTCAAGGCAATCAGTGTTCTGATTTTTTCCCCCACCATTGATTTGTTTATTCAAGAACTTCATATTAGTGGACTCGTCCAGTGTAAGAAGCCTCATGTGTAAGTCTTTGTTTGCTCAGCATCATACTTTAGAGGCTCTTCCATGTTGCTGAGATTTTTTTTTTTATAGATAAAGCCTTCACATAGCTCAAAACAAAAAGGGCATTTTGTGAGAGGTTTTGCTTTCACTCCTGTCTTCATCTGCTCGTCCCCATTCCCCACAGGTAATGACTTTTACTGATTTCTTGGGTATTCATATAGGGCTGCTTGATGCCAATACAAGCAACCATAAACATTCATTCTTACCTCTCCCCATTCTTCCCAAAGTGTACTGTACTGTGTGCTCTGCTCTGTACTTTGCTTTGTGCGCTGAACCGTACATTCTACAGCTGTTTCCGTATTCTTGGGTAGGGAGCCTCCCCTTTTTTCTCACAGCTGCATCCTTCTCCATTGCATGGGTGCATCATAGCTCGTTTAACACAATCGTCTGTGAATGGACACTTTGTTCTCGATAGCAAACGGTACTGCAGTGAATATTCTGGCACCTCCCTCATTTTGTGAGTGTTCAGGTGGACCTGTGAAGTTCATAGCCAAGTGGATTAAAGTCGGTGTTCTGAGAACATAGGCTCAGGGGGACTTCAAATCCCTTGAAATTATGTGCAGAATTTTGCCCATACCATGCAGCGTTTCAGGGAGAGGGTCCATTGCTTTTGTCAGATCCTTACTGAGATCAGTGAGTTGACAAAGGTTTAGAGCTCCTGGTAGAATCATGGTAGGATATCCACAAGACATTGTTGGGCAGTTCATGAGGAGTTCATGAAATGGTGATTTCAGCATGGCCTCATTATTTTTTTTTAAAGTATAAATGTATTTAAAGGTAGAAAAAATCTGGCAGGATTTATAAATGTGTGTGTGTGTGTGTGTGTGTTTCTACAGCAATATGGGTGATTTCCCTTTTCTCATTTTTGCTCATGCACATTTTATACATTTTCTGTAATGAATGAATGTTACTGTGTCATTTAAAAGTGGAGATCACTGGTCTTAGGGGAGAGATGGATTTGAACAGTGGTCCCTGAACTGAGAGCCTGTGAGTGTGGGGCCCTGAGCTGTCTCAGTCACTACTGTGTCTCCACCACTGCCTGGCACAGACCTGGACACACAGGAGGGCTCATGGAAGCCTTCCTTGCTGACTGACTGACTGACTGACTGACTGACTGACTGACTGACTGACTGACTGACTGACTGACTGACTGACTGACTGACTGACTGACTGACTGATCTATCTTACCTTCAGACCATCACTCATCCTGTTCCCTCTGCCTGTTACTCCATTTTCATACCCCATCCTCTTGGCTAAGACGAGAATGTGTGGGGAAAGAATAAGAAGATGCTCAGGAAGAGGAAATGGGTCCAGGGGACAGAGAGAGCACAATCCATATCTCCTGACCAGACTCTCTCTCCACTTAGGACATTTGCAAAGCAATACCCTTCCCCATCCTTGTTTTCGTGGCTATCCCTCACTGATCCTTCACAGCTCAGCTCAGCTGTCCCCTCCTCCAAGAAGCCTCCGCTGACATGCAGGTTTGGATCTGGCCCCTTTTCTAGGCTCCCACAACCTCCTGTGCCTCCACTACCCCAGCCCTGTCCATTCTGATCTGTCACTGTCTAGTGACAGTCTGTCTCTCCCACTGAACTGGGAGCCCCATGAGAGCAGGGTCAAGGGCTTTCTTGGTCATCACTGGATTTCCATGATCTCCCAGCCCAGGACAGACACAGAATGGGTGCCCAGTGAGTGTTTATTTAACACAGCAGTGCCTTCATTCACTCATCAAGTGCCTGCTGTTCTATCAGGCACTGTTCTAGGCACAGGAGATGAAACAGGGATCAAAGCAGAAAAAAATCCCTGTCTTTGTAGAGCTGATAGTCTATGGAATTAGACAACTGATACACGCAAATTATATTTTAGAAGGTTAGAAGCTATAGGAAAAAATAGAGCAGGAAAGGGGAGTAGGGAATAGGGAAGGGTTGCCATATAAAACAGCGTGGTCAGGGATGGCCTTACTGGGATGGTGACATTTGAGCAAAGCTTCTGTAAGAAGTGAGGAAGTGGGCCGGCCGAGTGGCGCGTTGGTTAAGAGCTGGCGTGGGACTCCAGAGGGGCCCGGTTCGGATCCCACATATGAGGACCAGTGACACTGCCCTCCACAGCTAAGATGCTGAACAACAGCTC